GTAACGTCTATTATCATCCTATAATATGAGCTATTAAATTCTGTTAGATCTCCCAGCCACGCTGCATGGGAACGTGAGAGAGAAGAGAGCAACGATCGCGATTCTCATTCCAATCGTAATCACAAAAGCGATCGCAATCGTGCGAGCAGTCACAGCGCGCAAGACAATGAGAGCGAAGGCAGGGGTAGAGACGACACCAGTAAACGGTATTCGGGTAATCGTCGACATCGTCACGTCAACGAAAACGAGGAGCGTTGGTACTGGCGATCCGAATCGCCGGTATCCGCCAGAAACTGCGTGAATCGAAAGGACAATCTACGTGAAGTCAGACAGGTCTGTGTGATTTGAAATAATGAAATTGTACTGCAAAACAATCACAGATTATCCAATTATAATACAAAAGTTTGTGTATAGTTTAACGTGGGAAATACATCTTTTGCGTGTTATTAGGGCTCGGAACCTTTATCTATGACCAACCAGAATGATTTTAATCGTACGCGAGACACTCGCAGTGTAGAGCCCGTTGGACATTCGGATAAGTTTCAAGGCAAGCCACCCACAGGTCGACGCAATATGAAAGACAGTTTGCCGAAGAATGCCAAGTTAGAACTCTTGCCGCCGCGATTGCAAAAGAAATATCTCATTGACAATGGATACGCGTTACCTAACAATCCAGGAACGTCCGCAGAGGACTCTTGGAACGGTAGCAGTATTACATTTCAGGTAAAAATTCGTTCAGTGCTTTATATTTTGTATTGATTTTGCCAGTGTGTTTTTGCAGTTCATGATTGAATATATGGACTATAATATATATATATATTTATATATATATATGTTATTTAAATTTCTTAAACATCTGCTTAACTGTCCGACGTATTTTTCTCTTCTCGTCTTTTTTCTCTCCCTATCACTCTCCCTTCAGCTCACTTTTAATTACTATTACCAGCTTTGTTCCTTAATCTTTAATATATTCGGATTGTCCCGTACTTGATGATGATATTGTACAACGCCCACACATTTACTTTACGCTTGCGAATGCTGCTAAAATTTACGTTCGGCGATATGGCGTCGTTTTTTTGTCTTGTTTTTTTTTTCAAAATTCCAATCACGAACG